TCTTGAAAATTCTTAACGCGTTTGGTATTCATTGTTTATGTAAGTACATTTATTAAAATAAAAAAAAAACTTAATAATCATATTAAGTGAATTAATACATCATATACATCCCAACCATGTTCCTTCAATTTGTTCCAAATTTATAAAGAGTACACACCTCTGTCTGACTTTGTTATGAATACAACTCTGTTTCTGTTGGCCAAATTTAATCACTTTTCCTTGATTGTTTCGATCAAGTGGTGGAGTTCTGAGCTGTGGAATATCGAATTAGCTGTTGAACCAGTCTGGAGCAGCTTGTAATAAACAATTATATTCTAATCTTATCAAAAAATCAATCTAACTTTTTAATTGAGCGATTGTTGGTTTTATATAATTGGATTAGTATTGTCAGATATATGAGCAACAATACCATCCAGTCACTACTATACTACCTAATAATTAGAAATACTCAGATATGATTCGTAACTCAGGAAATCAGTAAAATTCTAATTTTTCTATACAATTGTTTTTGAGACATTAAAAGGGTCGGTAAGGTTTGATAATTTAATACATTACCGAGGCTGCAGGTCTGATATTTTTTTCGATCACATTAAATATATTATATTATATATATTTATTTGTAAAGAATTTACAATATTTTAAATATTACCAAATAATTGTAAAAAAAATCCCTTTTAATTTTTCACAAAGTTAAATTATAGGAGATATCCAGTAATATCTAGTATCATATATTCTTACTGTTTAATAATCATGTTTTGATTGATTCACCAGTTATGTCTTGTGGCATAAGTCAGTATCTTGCTTCTTCTAAATCATATCTTAAAAAAATCATTTTAAAGTTTATAATTTATAACAACAATCACAGTTAATCTAACATCATGGATGGATTGAACAGTCCTCGCTTACGCTTTAAGACAAGTTATGATGAAACTGTCTATCCTAGTCGGTAAGTATTCAACTAAACATATGATTACAGTATATGATATACAATATCTGATATACATTTAATTTATAATTAAGTGATATGATGCGTAGACAACGCATCTTATCGGTTAAGAACATGGGACTTCAGGACATACCAGCTGATGTTTTTCGTGTTGCTAATGAAGAGCTTATTTCCATTGTAGATTTATCCAAAAATCTGTTGGATGGTCTTCCGAATGGGTAGGAATATTAAAAGAAATGTATATTAAAACCTAACTTATTTATATTAATTTGTCAGAATTTTTGTCCTGGAAATGAACCTTTCGGAACTGAATTTGTCAAATAATTTAATTCGTTTCTTGTCGCCCGCTATTGCATACTTCAAACGCTTAGTGATTCTCAATTTGTGCACCAATGGATTAACAGAACTGCCAGATGAATTCGCAGAGTTAACAGCTTTAGCTGATCTCAATTTATCCAGCAATCGGTAATGCCTTTTTTTTCTTATTTAAGAATAGAATATAAAAGAATATTTTACAGCTTTGAAGATGTTCCAAATTGTATTTACAAATTACCGCATTTGGAGGTTCTTTCGTTGGCTGATAATCATATTAAAATCATTGATCCTTCTGAAAGAGGATTCGGTGGTTTGAAGTCTTTACTTAATCTTGATTTAAGTAACAATCATATCAGTCAAGTTCCCCCCACTCTTGGAAATTTAACAAATATTGTGTAAGTTTAAGTGAGGCTCAATGAGTTAATGATTGAAATTAATTGTTTTTACTTTTAAGTTTTTTGTGCCTTATTGGAAACCCATTTCGTAATCCTCGCCATTCAGTACTAGAAAAGGGTACCAAAGCTGTTTTAGCTTACTTACGCAATCTTATTCCAAGTGAAGATTCACACACACAATATTGAGATGATTCGTGTATACCTTATATATTTAATATCTCATGTTTATACATAAGATATATATTTTTTGTCTTGCATCTTAAAATTAATTGTTTTACAACAACAAAAAAAGATATTACCAAATTATTAGTATTTTATTAAAATCAAATTTTTTTCTTTTTTACAATTCTTTTTTGCAGAAGTGTATTATATCAGTCATCTATTATTAGTTACATTAATAAAATGAAGAAATATTACATTTCATATATGAATATAAATTTCATGATGTGATCATAAAATTTTTGGTGCTGTTAGCTGATATTTGGACATAAATTTACTGTATCTATATGAGTTAATTGAGCACTAATAGCGTATATGAGTAATATGGTGGATTTATTCCGTAGTTTAAATATGAATTCAGTTTCTTAAGCCAATTTCTGTTTGTTGTGCTATTGTAGTCGTATATATTGATTTAGTAATAATAAAAACATCTCAAAAACGGTTGTAGGAATTTTACCAAAATCGAGCTTTAACTATCGTCTTAAGAAACTGGAAATTTGTTAAGACTAGAGTGGAACCTAAAGGTTTTATAAAAAGGAGAACGAGATTTGAAACAACACTATAGGTTGAACTGTACTGAACTGAACTGAAGTAGAGTGCTGAAAACTACTACGAAATTGATGGAACAACGGAAAAAATACCTAATTTAAGAAAAAACAGACTCAGAGACATACCCTTAATCAATCATGGATGTATATTATATATCTATGTTGTGTAAAGTCCCACAATTTAATAGTAACGAAAACGTGATTTATCCTTAAAAAAGGTTATAATAGATGTCTATGTTCTAGTATAAGTCCCCCAAAATTTATAATTAATTAAAGTTTAATAGCTTCAGAGACATAACCTGAATTGATCATGGATATACATTAGATAATTATGTTGCACTATATAAAGCCCCACAAATTAATACTAACAAAAATACGATTTATCATTAAAGAGAATATCTTTTATAAATATATATACATTTATTATATATCTATGTCCCATTATGAATCCCCGTAACAAAATAATTATAAAAACTAACTATTAATATTGTAAACCAAAAAAGAATTTTTAATATCCACTTGATCTATATAATATTCCTATTCATTTACTTTCTGGGTAATAATAGTGCACTCAAATAATTTTTTCGTTAATAGAACAACTACAGCAAATATAATTGGTCTCTTGTAAATAATTTTACTAACAGAGAACAGTTGACGAATTTTTCGTTTACGGTAAACGAAATAATTTTCAGAATATATATATCTTTATATATATACCCTATAGTTAATATTATCTTATTTTAAATTTGTAGGCTAGTGTTTTAATTTTATATGTTGTTGTTTATTGAAGTGCGACACCTATACGTAAAAACCCAGTAAGAAAACAGGAATCTTGTCTTTGAACTAAAGTCCTACTTTATATTTTTGAATCGGTTTATGTTATTGTCGCATATATAATAATAAAATTTAATGATCAGAACGGCAACAGACGTAAACAAAATAAATAAAACTCAGTACCAAAACAAAACAAAGGAAAACCGTGGGTGTGTACAGTTTAGCAAAACAACAATTTACCCAAAGAACGTTAAAAAAATTAACAATTAAAATACACAATTAATTTAAACAAATAATAAAAAAAAGCGGAACAGGAAAAGGTAAACAGTTGATAAGCATTTATGTGTATTTGCTCGTATTTATTAAGGTTAATTGATACCGAAATATTAAATTTCGCATAAAAATAAGCTTCGAGAAATCATCGCCAGAGTTGCTAAAATTGACAATGTAACAGCAGGGTGTAGAGGGCAGAATGAGGCAACGAGGTAATATTATTCACAGCCGGTGTCCGGAACTTAACTCCTATAGGCCAGCATATCTATAGAACTATTTTTACTGGCTTCCAATTGTTTGCTGTCTGTAATCTGAAAACTGCGTGTTTCGAATTAACAATGCATAGATTGTGTGGAATACGTGGACTGTTTTATTGACAACAAAATCAATTGACAGTCAGAATTTTAATTAAAACTCAATTACTTTTGCCAATACGTAGTTTTATTGGCTTTAAAATTTTGTACATTGTTATCAAAAAGTAATGGCAATATACTCCTTTTTTTAAAATTAAGTTAGTATAATAAAATATCCTTATCGGAGTATTTTACATATTAGCATTTAATGTCCGGCTTCTTGGATTTTAGCACACAGAATTAATTTAGTTCAAAGTTACGCTAATTTTCAAAATTTTTACGCTAATTTTTTTTGGTCGGCGAAAATCCTCGTTGTAAACCCTCCCCGTGGGTGCTGACCGGGCAATGGGCATCATCCATTTTTTGGCAATTCGGGTCATGAAGCTCTCGGATGTTGTAGCTGAGGAACATGATGCGGCTTGTCAAGGACTGTGATGTGTCTAGCTAAGATGAAGGAAGAGTCTCATGTGTAGTGGTCGTGGTATCAACAGGGTCAGTGCAGGTGAGCCCCTTCCCTAGTCATAACTTTGAGGTGTCTGGCAGTAGACAAAAAATGCAAAATGGTCGGTTTTTCCATAAAAAACCAAATGGAGTTGAAGAATGAAGAAAATCGGGCTGGGATATCAGCCCAAACGTCGGTGGGAGGCGCAGTTGCTACCACCGGCGGGCGCGGTGATTTTATAAGCCGCGTCACCAGTGACTGCACCTCTGCTGGGATCGGAGCAGGTTCCAGTAGTTGTACTACTACTGCCAAACAACAGCGCAGTGATGCCAAAGTTCCTGTAGACTTGGGTCACAAAGGCGCAATTCCAAAAAACAAAAACAAAAATCAATGCAACGCAGTGATGCCATAGTCCCTGTAGACTCGGATCACGAGAGCGTTGCTAGCGTCAACACAATTGAGGAGGAAGCTCTTCTTCGTTCTCCGGGGGAAGCTGCTAAGGCCATTCGTAGGCCTAGGGCTGAACCAAATAAGGAGGGGTTGAAAGCCAAATCCAGATATAAGGCCGCGATAAAACTCTGTGCTCGCCTCGGAGACCGGAATGATCTGTCGAAGGAAGAGAAAGACAGGCTAGTCTGGGCGAAAGAGGAGATAGAGAAAGGTCAAGCCTTTTTCGCAGGTAAAAGGTGGTGTGAACCCTCGGATTCCAAATTTGCAAATCGAATCGAGGAAGATATGGCATGTAAAAGGCAGCGCTCAACGGAAAGCGAAGGTTCTTCTGGAAAGAGGCAAAAGCGTAAAGATGAGGCTGTCCCTCAACATAAAACTGCTACAAAAAGGACGAAAGCCGATACTACTAAAAGGCCGGAAGCGTCCACATTTAAAGCAGCAACAACAACAAAAAAGACGAAAGCCAGTGATCCAAAAGAACAGGAAGCGTCTACATCTAAACTAACAATGGCGGGGATAGTGGCCAAGCGACGCTTGATTGTGGCACTTATCGACCGCAGTGATCCACAGGGTCAAATGGTAGAAACTAGGTGGAAAATAGTGGAAATGAAGCTATTAGATGCTATGTTCGCCAAAATGAGCGCGGAACCAGAAGCTCCAATGCCATCATTCGACGGGGCCGGCTGGTTCAACGGAGTGAAATTACTGAAGTGTAAAGACGACTCTACCCTGAACTGGTTAAGGGAGGCAGCTACAACGCTCCAAGGCCTATGGGAAGGGGCATCTTTGGAGGTTGTGGACAGGAAAGATATCCCGTCTTTGCCCAAAGCGAAGGTTCTTATACCTCGAGTGGTGAAGCCAGAGGATGCTCTTCGTCTCTTACAACGACAGAATCCGGATGTGCCAACAAGCGATTGGAAGGTGTTAAAGGTCCTCAAGCCAGCTAAAGAAGGCGAGGGACAAAACTACATCCTATTAATCAACAAAATGGCCGAGGACATTCTGTATTCACGATACGGGAAGATGTCGTGGGGAGTAGGGAGCGTGTACCTTCGCCTCAAAAAACGACACCCAACCGATAGGAATTCTAATACACTCGCTGCGGAGGAAATCGAGGAGGATCTCGGTATTGAAGAAATCCTAAGCTCGTCCCTCAATCTTCGCGAAGGAGAGGAACCGGGTGTGATGAGTGCTGAAACCAACCCCGGGGAAGAATCGGAAGCTCATGCTAAAGATTCTACAAATAAACCTCCACCGAAGTAAAATTGCCTCAGCTGAGCTCCTCCTTAATCTAGAAGAGGGCGGCTACGATGTGGCTTTAATTCAGGAACCATGGCTGGCCTCGGGCAACCTGGTCTCTGGGTTAAATTCACGAAACTATAACACATTCATTCCACATGGGGTAACAAGGGTAAGAACTGTTATACTAGTAAAGAAAGGTATTAATTCTTATATTGTAAACTCTCTCTCTACAGAAGATCTAACGGTAGTGGCGGGTGACGGCGATAGGAACATACTTCTCGCGTCTTGCTACATGCCACATGAGGAAGAAATACCATCAGAAGAACTCCAAAGGCTGGTAGATTTAGCTGGCGAAGGAGAGCAAAGTCTGATAATCGGTACTGACGCCAACGCACATCATACGCTTTGGGGAAGCACTGACATCAATGACAGAGGTGAGTCTCTTTTTAATTACATAATACAAAGTAGGCTTAGTGTAGCTAACAGAGGAGAGGAACCGACCTATGTTGGACCGACCTCCAGAAACGTTCTAGATATAACACTCTTCACGGAAGATAATGTACAGGTGATAGAATGGAAGGTTCTTAACGAACCATCATTTTCAGATCACAAATATATTAGTTTCCAAATAGATTTTCAGTACCTTAAAAGCAGAAAAGTTGTAAGAAATCCCAAACAAACGAATTGGGACCTTTATCGAAAAATTCTGAAACAGAGACTGAAAAAAATTACGACAATTGATTCTTACGTGGATCTGGAAGCTAGGCTTGACCAACTTACCAGAGCCCTAACTATAGCGTACCATATCGCGTGCCCGCCAATGCGTACTAAACGTAGATCTCAACCTCCTTGGTGGAATAAGGAATTGGGATCAAAAAGACGCTACGTTCGCGAAATCTTCAAGCTGGCTCAGCTAGCAGAAAGTGAAGTCATCTGGGAAGAGTACAGAGATATTCTTAAGCAATACAAAAAAGACATTCGAAATGCGAAAAGAAACTCCTGGAAGGATTTTTGCGCAGGTATAGAAAAGACGGTGGAGGTAGCTAGGCTTAGAAAACTACTATCCAAACACCCAACTATGCCTAACCTTGTCAGGAAGGAAAACGGCGAATGGACAAAAACTAACACTGAATCACTTGTAGATCTTACTAATACTCACTTTCCTGGCTGTGCAATTGTGAGCAATACCGAACCGGTCAGGAATATGGTAGGCTCCGCAGGAAAAAATATTGTTACTCACATGAGGCTGGAATGGGCAATCAAATCATTCGCTTCATACAAATCTCCTGGACTTGATGGTATTTATCCAGCTATGATACAAAAGGCTTCGGACCTAATAAAAACATGGCTGATAAATATCTTTAGAGGATGCCTGAAGCATAATTACGTACCCGTAAACTGGCGAGTGGCAAGAGTCATTTTTATTCCGAAAGCAGGAAAAAATGGTCACCTCTACTCTAGAGATTATAGGCCAATTAGTCTTACCTCTTTTATTCTCAAAATTTTTGAAAAAATACTAGCAGCACATATAGGAAACCAATTAGCTCCTGAAGTTCTGTCAAGAGCACAACACGCTTATACTAAGGGCAGATCCACGGAGACTGCTCTCCATACACTTGTCTCTAATATTGAAAAGGCCTTAGAATACAAAGAATACGCTCTAGGAGTTTTTCTGGATATTGCGGGTGCTTTCAATAATGTATCAACGCAAGCTATTTTAAATAGCTTAGATGATGTTGGTATAGACTCAGCCACATATCAATGGATGCAAGCCTTTTAAGCTGCAGACAGATAAGGGCAGAATGGAACGATACAACTCTAGCTAGGGAAACATGTAGAGGAACCCCGCAGGGAGGCGTTCTCTCACCCCTTCTCTGGTTACTGGTAATCAATAAAATTCTTAAACAATTTGATGGTAAAGCTCCGAAACTAATTGCATATGCGGACGACATCGCAGTAGTTATAACGGGGAGATGCCTATCTACTCTAAGTGCATTAATGAGCGACGCTCTCAAATTAATTTACAACTGGGCGACTGACGCTGGCTTAAGCGTAAACGCAGAAAAAACTGACACAATACTTTTCACAAGAAAGTACAAGGTCACAGCATGGACGCCACCTAACTTGAACGGAACTCTTCTGCCACTGAAAACTCAAACGAAATACCTTGGAGTAATTGTGGATAGCAAACTGACGTGGAAGCCTAATGTAGAAGAACGGGTAAAGAAGGCAACAAATGCTTTATACGCATGTAAAAGGATGCCGGGAAGTACATGGGGTCTCTCACCCGGTCTTATGTACTGGTGCTACACGGCTATAGTTAGACCTATATTACTTTACGGTATATTAGTTTGGTGGACAGTTGTGAAAAAGAAAACATATATAAAACCCCTGGAAAAGGTCCAAAGACACGCGGCGATGTGCATCACCGGTGCAATAAGAACAACTCCGACGGCAGCTCTAGAAGCTATACTAAACTTACCCCCAATTGATATCTTTGCCGAGAATATGGCGGCAAAAACGGCCGAACGGCTACGCATTACTGGGCAACTTACTCGAAGATCTTTCGGGCATAACGTTGTAAATCAGAACGCCACTCTTGATTCGGATTATATGATTCCGGTCATGTACCCCGGAGCAACAATAAAAACTGTGATCGAAAACGAAGGATGGAAAAAAGGCATGGTGCCAAAATGCAACACCATAAATGTTTTCACAGACGGTTCAAAGATGGAAGTGGGAGTAAGAGCTGGCATATATTGTGCGGAATTGAGCATAAGAATGCCGTTTAAACTTCCCAACTACTGCAGTGTATTCCAAGCAGAAGTGTTTGCTGTTAAAAAAGCGGCGGAGCTTGTGTGTAGGGATGAAACCAGAAACTACTGCATAAATTTCTATGTGGATAGCCAAGCAGCCATTAAGGCGATCAAATCTTACTGGTCATCATCCAAAAATGTTCTAGAATGCAAGGAAGCTATAACAAGACTAGCCTGCAACCGCAGACTTTGTATGTACTGGATTCCTGGTCATAAAGGCATAGAGGGAAATGAGACAGTTGATGCTATTGCTAAAAATGGCGCAAAACTTTCAGAGGAACAAACGAGCGAAGTACTTAGACCTCTGAAACAAATACATAAACTTCTGGACGAGCACATGATAAGGAGAGCAAAGGAAAGGTGGCGGAACTTAACCACCTGTAGAACAGCTAGAATTATGTGTAGGCACATATATGAAGAAAAATACACCAAGAATGTTATATCGTTAAACCGAAGGAACTGTAGAACATTAATTGGTGTGTTGACAGGTCACTGTTTGGTTGCATCACATGCCCGAAAACTAAACCTAATTCACAACGATGCTTGCAGAAAATGCAATGAGCCGGATGCAAAGGAAACTCTAGAGCATCTGATGTGTAATTGTCCGGCTCTCTCGAGAACTCGACAAAAATACTTGGGAGCTTTCAGTTTTGCAGGACTGGAGTACATACCTGAGGTTTCTGTTGGAATCTTAATAAATTTTGCTAATGAAACGCGCATCTTAAGTGATGCTTACAATCGCTAAAACAAGACTCTGATCTGGTATCGCAATGGACCCTAGTGGTCTACGCGTGGCCTTTATGGCCTGCCAGCATAATCTAATCTAATCTACGCTAAATTTTCTTTAATGAATACCACAATAATCTATTTACTAAATAATTAGCTGAGGCACTAAAAATGTTTCTTTGCTAAAAATACAATAAGTCACCTTATCAAAATCTAAAACTAAATTAAAAATTAGTCACTAATATTAGTCAAAATTTATCACTACACTACACTTATAATAAGTCTTATTTGCTGTTGTTTAAAGTCTTATATGATAAAATCTACTTAAAAGTAAACAATTTACTCTGAATTTAATATTTACTTACATTCATACTCGCACATGCATATATTGCAACCCTAAACAATATATTAATAGTAGTTTTAGGTAAGTGATTATATAGCTTTGGCTAGTGGAAGAAACTGGATTTGAAAGATGTGTATTCTTTACGACTTCTCGGACTGCTCACTGGTAAGAATAAAAGATCTGTTAAATTACATTACCTGAATGAAATAACTTGTATTAATGTAGGGGTTTGTTGTAAGGACTCTGATATGAAAAAGGGTAAATCATTGCTAATTATTGAGAGCAAAAATGTATTTGCCCATCAGTCATTGCCACCAACCAACAAACAGTGATTTATTGTTCCTTTTAGATATTGTACTTAAGGTTTACTTATACATTTATAAACACAACATTAATAATATTTTTATAATGCTTTTTGATTACTTATTATTTTATTGATTGATTACTTCTCTTTTAAAAAATAAAAAATATATATCTCAAAGTTTAGATAATATTATCTCCATCTTTATTATCTATATACACTACATTAATAAAATTTTAATAATGTTTATTGATTACTTATTACTTTATTAATTGATTACCTCCTTTAAAAAATAATAAATGTATATCCCAAAGTTTAGATAATATTCTCTTCGTCATTATTATCTATATACACAACATTAATATTTTAATAATGTTTATTGATTACTTGTTACTTTATTGATTGTTTACTTCTCTTATAATATTAATAAATGTATATCCCATAGTTTAGATATTATCTTTATCTTTATTATCTATATACACAACATTAATATTTTAATAATGTTTATTGATTACTTCTTACTTTATTGATTGATTACCTCCTTTTAAAATCAATAAATGTATATCCCAAAGTTTAGATAATATTATCTTCGTCTTTATTATCTATATACACAACATTAATATTTTAATAATGTTTATTGGTTACTTATTACTTTATTGATTGATTACCGCCTTTTGAAAATAATAAATGTATATCCCAAAGTTTAGATAATATTATCTTCGTCTTTATTATCTATATACACAACATTAATATTTTAATAATGTTTATTGGTTACTTATTACTTTATTGATTGATTACCGCCTTTTGAAAATAATAAATGTATATCCCAAAGTTTAGATAATATTATCTCTTGGGTCTGAACGTTATACCTTTCAACGCTTTGATTGGGATTTATAGATTGCTGTTTATTTAACTGATTGTAGATTTTTCATCGACAAGTAGTTATGGAGCTATAGTTTACCCAATTCTGATATATTATATTAAGAAAACCCTAGCTATGCAATGTTTTGTAAAGATTTTGGTGTTTTTCTGAAACAAAAAACTTATTTTGAAACAATCAAACCGATTAACATTTCATCGAAGCTAAACATTGATTCAATATCTCAAAAATTTATAAATGATTTTCTGAAGGATATAAAAATGATCAAATAACTTTTTTCTTCCACTAGAGTTTTTTATATTTTTCTAGAAATCAGCGCCTAATACATATTGTCTGTATTTATGCTGTAGAGATACTTTAGGACACAAATAACAAGTTTTATTTAATCGTCGACTTCTATAAAGTTCTCCTGATTTACTGTAAGTCGTTATCTAACAGCTTATCCAGTTAGTTGACGAATTGAGAAAGTGATATGTTAACTAATCAACAGATAGATGGATAAACTATTCGTCATTTATTACTTTTCATAAATATTTATGATCAGTATATCGCCATTGGTTATAATATGTTGAACCATGAACATAACCAAAAGAGGAAAGGGACTAGTAAAAATCATAGAGGTCAACAAATTTTTTAATTGACATTTTTACTTCATAATATAAAATAATATAATAATATATATAATTAAATATATAATATATATATATATATATATATATATATATATATATAATAATATTTATTAAAATACATTTAATCAATTAAATATATAGTTATAGGTATCTTGCAAGATCTTAAACTTGCATATGTATCTTAAAAGTTTATATTATAAGGATAGTATTATAGTTTAAATTTTAAGAAAGAGTAATTGTCACCAATTCCTTCTGGATATTCTTGTGTGTTCAACGTTTCCTTCTCAATATCCTAAATATTTTTGGGGGCCTTAATGTATTATTGTTCAGGATATGAACACACATTCAATATTGATATTGAGTTTTAAAGGTAAGTGAAAATTATTTTAGTAGGGAATATTCCTACTAAATATATATACATTGGTTCCATATATATAATTTACATATATAATTTATTTATTATATACTTAAAACATATATATTCAAAAAAATTAAATAAGTACCTACTAATAAATGATTTGTAACGAAACTACCAGCGTGAAGGCTATGCAACTATAATAAAATTAAAGTCTTTCTTGTTTTTTTTCAGATACTTAAATATTTAATATTATTATGTTATATTAGTTAGTTCATTAACTAAGCATTTAAAACCTATAAAATAAAAAACTCTTTTACTTTTTTTATTAAATCTTCTCTTATAATTTGAGACTTACAATAAGTTATTAACTCTTGAAATTAATTACATATATATTACATTATATTGTATACAATAATTAATTGGTATGCCACGGCCCTTACCCAAACTATTATATTTAAGGCTGATTTAGAGTTTATAATGAAAAAAAATGAACTGAAATATATTCAAAATAAAGTTATCTGCTAGATCTGTTCTTTTTACGTGAAATCTCATGATAGTCATTTCTTTTCAAGACGATTTACATATGCATGTAGCTTTATAAATATTGGGGTTTGCATTCCTAATGTACCACGGAGCCCTTTTCACAAAAATTTTCAACTGTACTCTTTGCAAGATTGCATTGTTTGATAACTGGCGTTGGAGACTATGTATCCAAATTGTTTTAATAGTACTCTTGGAACTTATATTCTAAACTGAAAAGAGTTTGACTGTTGCACTGCTCATACTGATAAAACAAAAATTAAGAACGGTTTAATAATTTGTCACTAATTTAAATACTCTGATAGGATCTTTTCCTTAGTCAAGTTATTTATCTAATCCTGATTTTTGGATAAAAAATAGACATGGTACCGGCTCTGAACGCAGAGGAGCACCGCGACCGTAGACCATAGTTGATCTTTTGTGCTGTTTTAATATTTTATATAGTTTTCTCCAAATCTATTTATGAAAT